GCATATTTGTCATAGGTGGGCAAAGCTGGCTTGATTCAGTGAATTTTACTTAATTGATTGCCAATTAACACAAACTTAATTACTAATTCATATATTGAGAAAAAAGAAAATACAGTTTAACCCTTAGAGAAATACTCTTCCTTGCCCTTAAGCTAACAGTTTCCCCCCCCTTCCTACCCTTGTTTTTACTATGTATTTTACATCATCCCTCCCGGTTGGAGGGGCTGCTGTTAGATGCTATAAAATCAGTCAAAAGAGTGTTGCTATTGCAGAAAGAGCTTTGCATTCCATTAATTGTTCTAACTTCTGGTGCTGTAAGGATAGAAGTACTGTGGAAGCAAAAAGATGAGACAGAAAGAAAGATGTTTTAAGTGAAATTAACTGTTATTTACTGAAATAGCTCAATGTTATGGAAATCGCCCTGTCTGCTACCCTCTGGTAACAGATACATCTCTCTGTAATCTCACAAGCTGTGGAATAGCTTTTTTTTTTTTTTTTCCCCAATACTTTAAATCCTTGGAGAAAGATAATAAAAGGGGTCAACTTGTAGCTATAAATTACATAAATAACAGGCCATTAATTTAAAGACACATTAAAAGGCAGTATCAGTCAGGTAAAAGATCCCCTCTTTTCATAGCATATGCATTTCGGATGTTTCCTTCATTCTACATTTGTGTTTAGATTCCTATTCATCATCTCCTGCATAAGTCACACATCTGAGAACTGAACCCACTGGCAGAATATGTCTTAATATTTTTATTTCTTCTGTTGGTCACATCTAGAGGAAGGAAATGTAAAATTGATTAGAAAACTCAGTGCAGCCACAACTAACCAAAAATCCTGATCCTTCAGAGTTAGAGGTTTTTTTAATGACTTCAAAGAATGCCTTGTGAGGCTGATGTACAAATGAGACCGAAGTCTCACGATTGTTGATGATATTCCCTAGAAGATTACCTTGTGCAAATACCTGAAAATGAAGCCTGAAATAACTTACTTATGTGATACTTTGTCATTAGTTTAACTTCAAATAAGTAAGTGAAGAGTTAGTACTGCAGAAGTCATTAAGTGCATACACCTATCAAGCGAGACCCCCAAACACCACATTTTGGTGATGGATAATCTAGGAAGTCTTTAACTTTCTCTCTACAAACTCCCTGGATGGTTTGGTGCCTGATCACTGTCAGAAACAGTAGTGCCTAAATCAGTGTGGCCAATTCAGTTGGTACCTGCTAGGACATTTCAATCAGGCTTTTGCCTTTCTCGTTGACTTTCTTAGACCCAGCAGTAGCAATTCTCACGGAACAGGTGGCGGTAAGATGGCTCACTACTTCTACTAATAATAGCCATTCTACCCTACGTGGTATAATAAAATATTGAGCAAGGCATCTGGGAGAATAGAGGGTGCTACTTGTAGGAAAGGGTGCAGATAGGAGATGAAGGGGTCATCTAGGTTGATGGAGGTCCAAATAGAAGGTTGTAAGGGGGTTGGAGTCTAGTACTTGGAAGACATTTTCTCTTTTTGTTTATATTTTTAGTTGGTTTTACTAGCTTAAGAATATGTTCTCAGCCTGTTTGCATATGAAACCTGCAAGGGTCTTGATTATTTCATTTTATGTAGAGTAAGAGTTGTAAGGACTGGTTATGAAAGGGCACTAGAAACCAGGAGTTGGATGAGTTTTCTCAAGGACCGGAGTGATACCTGGGTTGAGAAGACTCTAAGGATCCAGACATTACTGAGTTCTTACAAGTATGGGAATGCTGCCTGTTTGGATTCTAAGTTGCACAGCTAAAGTTGTTTGCCTATAATAACTCAATGATGTTCCCTCACCTTTTATTCCCACCTCAAGCATTGTATGTTTGTTTATATCAAACAGAGAAGTGACTGCACAAGTATTTTAATTTTAGAAATTTAGGGGTTTCATTCTGTACTGCATTTTTATGCTTTTATAAGTTTTTTGTCTTTAGTGTGATCTGTGGACATGAATCAATGAAATGTAGATAATTCAGGTCTGTATTTGACTTTCAAGTTAACAGAAGCATGCTTGTGGTTTATTGATGTACTTCATGTAAGGTACTGAAAATCAATTTCATATGGATTTATTTATGTTTGCTAAGTATTTATCCAGCAGTTTATCCCAAGTTCAGTTCTACCTTTGCACCCGCTTAAGGATAGGTATTTACTTAACAGTAAACATCTGTGAAGCAGCAGCACTGTTAAGCAATGGTTTAGGCTGATACAGTAAAAGAAACATAAAAAATGAGAACCAAGGAAAAAAGATAGAACAAGATAGGAAAAAACAACCTAGAAGTGATGGAAGTATATTTAATGGCAGTTAACTGACATGGTATTTCTACATTAAGTTATAATCAGGCACATCTCAGGAAACGTATGTGTCAACGTTAAGGACTTGTAGATTGTTTTGTTAATATTAAGGAAAGAGACCAGTAAGACTTTAAGGAAAAAGTCCCTAACTACTTAGATGAGCTGCAAAGTTAAAATATCCATTTTAAAGCCACTACTGGTGCAGAATCAGTGTTTGTTCTGTGTGAGCCTACTTTCATATATATCTGGTGAAGAATGGCATCTTTTCTTCCATGCTTGTATTCTTTTTTTTTACGATTATGATCATCATACAGGGCCACAGAATTAAGTGCTTTTTCTACATATATTTTTTTTCCTGGGAAAGGGCTTTCTGTTCATAAGATGCCAAGATGCACTATTGCTTCTTGTTCTGGTGGGGGGAAATCTGTTTTGAAAAATCTTTACTTCGCTATAGCTGCGTAAATGGGAGAGAATTCTTGAAAACCTGGCTATATGAATAATATTTTGTAAAAATAGCAGCACGTGGACTCAGTGCATCTTTCAGCATTTAGTTCTTAGTTGGTATTTAACTGTCTGTGATAAGACAAAAAAGTGATGACTTGTTACTGTCTCTTATATTCAAAATGCTGTTGGTGAAAGAGGAAGCAATTCCCATGTTTCAGTTTTGATTAGTTTAGGGAAAGGCAGGTTGTGCTACTCTGGATAATATCAGTAGTTAAAAATAAATAAATCAGGAACTTCCAAATATGCCAGAAAATGAGCTTTGAAGTTTGCAACACACAAATGCCTTCAAATGTCTTTATGTTTGTGAACACGTTTCTTCGGGGGAAGAAATGCCTCGAAAATTTTAATTACCTTTCATTGCTATTAATGCAAATAGTCTTTCTAAAGAAATGAAGTAGAAACCTTACTTTGATTAATGTAAACTGTAAGACCCTTGCTGTTTAATTTCTAGTATGGGTCAGTCTGTCTAATCATGAATAGTTGTCTATATAAGAAGAATCCATAATTTACTGATTTCTTGAATAAGCGTCCCTTCATCATTAATAACATAAAATAGCAGACTTAATAAATAACATTAAATAACAGATTTGATCAGATTAAGAACTTACCTCCCAGAGTTTTCACTGAGCATGGGCAAATGTGCTGAGGAGCATTGTAAATGTTGAACAATGTAGAGAGCAGGCAGTTAGATGGCAAGTGCACTTCTTATTATAAGAGCTCTAAAAGAGAAAAGGAATTATAATGGGACTCCAAAGAATTATAACCTGCTCTCATAATAACAAGTACCAGTCTCTCTAGAAGTTCTCTTTAAGGTTCTGATTTTCTCTATCAGTAATCTTATACTGAAATTACTTACTTGATGACTTTTTCAGATGCGTGGCTCCAAAAGGAGTGTTACTTGTCATCTCATGGGACCTTTGGGTTTCATGTTGTGATAATAATGGAAAAAGTGGTGCTAGCACAAAACAGAAGTTTCCTTTATGTTTGCTCATTGTAAGAAGCTGCTTGTGGGAGGATAAGACAAAAGGATTCTTCTCCAATTTACTTTCTTCAAAGACATGGCAAAATTTTAGGCTTTGAAACTGCAAATGATTTCCTGCTATTTACTGCTGTACTGAAAAACTCAGTTTGACTTAATGAGCGTGAAGATGAAGATGTCTCTTACTCTGTTCCTCAGACAATCAGGCCAACTAAATTAACCAGTGAAACTGTTTGCAACAAGCCGCACTGTTCAAAGTAATGAAATAACAGCATGATAGACTGTGCTGGAGAAATCTGTGAGGGACAAAGCATGTGCATTACTTCAGGGTCAGTGAAGCCCTGCACATAAAACACTTTATGATTTATAGTGTCTCTATTGTAATTCTTCAATATTCAGAAAAAATTAACTGTATTTATCAAAATTTTCATATATTCAGAATTGAGCAATAAACCGCAATATTTTTTCAAAGTTTTTGTTGTTTTTTTTTTTTTTTTTGAAAAGTCAATAAATGACATGCTTGTATCTCTTTAGTGTTTCTCAGTTTCTTAGCGCTTGAGAAATTAATGGCAGGAAGAATGAGCCCTGTATACAGGAAATGCAGAAGTAAAGCAGTAAGGAGCGCACTCTTTGGAAGTAGTTGCTTCAGCTGACACCTGGTAATGTGAAGAATGACTGAATTATACAATCACCAGCTCTTGGTAAGGCTGAAAGCTCACAGAAACAATAAGGGAACAATTCCTATAAAATTGCTCAAATGATACTTGAGTTGTCAGGGGTGTCTTGCTACATATTACAACATCAATTCTTTTAACCCTAAAAAGCAGGCAAAATAATAATTAAGGATCTTCTCTATTTGATATTTGTATGTAACCTATATTTGATATTGGTATCATTTGTCAGCACTTAGAGTTACATATTATTTAATTGCTTTAGAGACCAGGAAATTAAGATAATTTGTGTATTATGAATTCTCAGAGTTGTCTTACTAATTTGTTCATATATACTTGTTCAAACTTACAGTCTGTGGCAGTAAAACTTTCTTTTGGTACTATGAGTTTATGCAGTACTCTCAGAGCTTTTGTTTGTTAGCAAGTATAATAAATATTTGTTAATAAATAAAATAACATTATTTTTATTTGTAGATACTGGAGAATCCTAATGGAATGCATGGGTTTTTTTGTCTTTCTGCAGGTAAAGAAAATAAGGCACAAAGAGGTAACCTGAACCTGCTCAGCATCACAGAAAGGTCACCAGCAGAACTGGCAATACTGTTGAGTCCTTTTCATTACCAAGGAAGTAGGTCAGCTAGGTGAATAAATATTGTTGTCAAATGCCACAGACTTACTATATTGATGTACCTTGCTCTGTCCCAGAAGAGTCATTATGCTTACAGAGCAAGACTTCAGTCTGTCAGAACAGACCATTCCATGGTCTGGTGACCCATCAAATAGCATGTTGGTTGTTAGATTTATGCTTATGTGGTTTGACTTGAAGAAAGGTAAAAAACTAAGGAATGTTGAATGAATTAAAATGGCTGGGTTTGACTGTAATCTTATGACACAAAGCAAAAGGATTACAAAAGTAAATTATTCAAGTATCTGCCAAAGTCTTGAAACAATGTCTGCCCCTCCTAAAGTTTGTTATGACAAACAGTATGCCATTTGTGTACTTTCCCTTGGAAAAGAAGTTCTGGCCCATAAAATCTCCTAAAATGGCTGACCTAATTTTGGTTTAGCAAGAATAATTTATCTTACTCTGGCTAGCACCAAATATACATACAACCAATGCATATATAACAATAGCCATATACAGTCATGTTAGTTATAACTTGTCAGTTTAATCTGAGGAAATAGATGAAGCTGACTTGCTGTGTGCCTTATTTCTTTGTATCTCCACACACTTTCTAAAAATAAGTCTTGAAATGTGGAATGCCCTGTTGGCTGTATGTATATAAGGCCTTTATGTAACTGATGAACAGACAGATTCATTTTTGTGGTTATATTACCATGAAGTTCCTTATATTTGGCATTATTCCATATACATTATTTTTTTACTCTCCCCTTGTAATTTTTCAGGAAGTAAACTTCTCTTCCACTTTCAATTAAATATTCTTCGCTTTTGAGATTTTCAATGTTTATTTATTATCAGGAATATTTTTTGTTTTTGTTTGTTTAATTCAAGCAGTTTGTATGCTGGTGGCCTCCCACCTTTTTAGAACGTTCTGTGTTTGCTAGATGACCATAAGCAAACATAAAATCTGCATTGACATTGAGAAAATAATGTCAGTAGACACGATACAGGCTGCTACCTCCCCTCTCACAGGCTTTATCTGGTGCCGTCGCTGCCACCGCCGAGCCAGCCAGAGCACGGCAGCCACAGCAGGTCTCCCACACCGGGCCCCGGCCCGAGCCCTGAGGCGGGCACTCCCCATCCCGCTTGCGCTGCCGGCGCCAAGTGCCGCGCCCCACCCTGGTCCTACGCTCCCTGGGGCTGGTTTTACCCGGTGCCGTCCCTCCTGGCACGGCCCCCTGTGAGTCCCTGCTCGCTTCAGAGGAGCTCCGGGTTCCAGGGCAAGGTCTGGCGGGGGTCGGAGGCTCCGCTCGATGGCTCTCGCCGCTTAGAACTGAGGCTCCTGGACGAGGTATTTCTTCCTGCTCCGGGATTGAAGGCTGCTCTATGGAGATACCTCGGCGGATGGCCGTTAGTGGCCGACGATCACCGGTTTGAATCAGGTCAGAGCAGACTGTGACAGTAGTTCCTTCCAGCCCCAGATTGAATGACTCTTTTCTGTTTGACCTGCGATATTGGAAATGGTAACCAGTGTTTGTGGGGTGAGTTTAAATAAAGCTGTTGCCAACAAGCTGTTAAAAAAAATCAAAACCCCCAAAACAAACAAACAAGAAAACAAAAAAACAAACCCAGCTTTGTTTGGGTTTTAGAGACTGAATCTCTTTCAGGAGCATTGAAATTCATGATCACCAAAGGGAAACCGATACTCTCTGGAAGTGGTGTGTGAGGAGAAGGGAAGACATAGAGAGTTATTTTGTTTAATCCCTTCAAGATCAGAATCTTACAACTTAGCGGTCACAGTAAAATGAAGAGAAAATCCATGGAGCTCTCTGACAGTACTTTTACCAGTGAGACTCATGACAGTAAAATACAGGAGAGGTAGAACTTTAGAGAAAAGAAAGGGCTGTTTGAAAGCCAATCGCTGATGTTCTGGGGGAAAAAGTATACTGAGCTTACAACATCCTAGAAGAGCCAATGTAAACAAAATTGGGGGAAAGGAGAAAAGGATGGTAGGTGAATGCCTGCTCCTATGCCTAATAGACCTTGAGAAATACGCCTAGCACTTCTAGTATAGCAGAGAGAATTCATTCATTCATTCATCTTTTAGGTCTGCAAGTTCCTTTAGGGTAATGTGAATAGAAGTGATAGCCCAATTTTAATAGGATGGAAAAGACCAGTGGGTGACATTTTTAGGACAATAATATGGGTAAAGACCAATGTTTATTTAATATTAATTAAATTTTACTGCAGGTCTGCACGGGCAATGTACAGTTTACCTGGTATGTTCCCTACACAGCACTCATGTTTCAGCTTTAACTCCTACTGGGGGAATGGAGCTTATTGGTGGCAAGCTTCCAAAGGTGTAAACAAATCGCACAGAAACAGCATTTGTTACACATCCAGGTAATATGGCACATGGTATTACAGCATAATTTAAAAGAAGACAGTAATAAACAGAAAACTGCCCATCAGAATTTATTCCAGAGGCCTAATTGAGGATAAATGTTTTTCATCACAGAGATCTCACTCCCATTTTGCTGTCAGTTTTTGTATGCAGCAGTTCAGCTAAGGGCAGGACTGAGTTTGTTGGGGTAGAGAAGGGGAGAGTAATTTGAGTTTAAAAAAATATTTAAAGATACTTTGATAGAGCAAACTAACTTCAAATAAATTTACAATCTGAAAACAATCTTTCACAGCAGGAACCTAATTTCAGTAGTATGTTGGGGAACTGTTATTGTACTCCTTGAGGTGACTTAAACACACATTTGTGCTGAAATATATTTTTAAAAAAGTATTGATTGAATAGAGTTCTACCACCATAATTGGCTCTACAGAGAGTCTGCAAAGATACATCACAAGCTGATTCCTTATTTACATTTCCAGTGGCACCAATTCCATGAGCAATGCCTTGGGGTGCCTTAGCCCTGTGTTGGGTCCATACCCCCTTTCCCCCCTCCCCAGATCTGCTGCCCAAAGGTGGGCCCTGAGCACTGACGTTCCGGGATTTCTACAAGACAGTAGAACATCATCTCCTCTGCAAGGTAAACTTCACTCCCTTACAGGGAGTCCTTCTGTCTTTGGTGGTGTTCCAGCTTCCAGCCAGTTTAACCCCTTCTGCAGTTGAGTCATTTTGCCCTCCATGCCAGATCATGTCTTTGGTCAGAAATTACTATTGCTAAGCAGTTACAATTTGAATTTCCCCTTCAAATGCTTCAGCGGTACACTAAGCCAGGATCTATACAAAGTCTCTAAATAAGTGAAAAAGAAAGCTGTTATGTTGAACCCAAAGATAACCATCTAGCTCAGGATTTGGGACTTATGGATGCATGCCCTTTCTATAACTGGTAACATCCTTTCTGTAATTCGTTAACACTACACTTTTGTTAACATTAATTTAATGTTTATTATGATGTTTAAGTCACATCTGGACACATGCATCCATGGTCACTTGGGGAGGAAAGAAATTTGTTCAAATTTACTTCTAGTGTCTTTCATCAGGCTACTTTCATTTGAATCTGCCTTTGTATATTATGCTTACAGCGTGACAGTTGTGAATCTGTATTTCTAAGGAAGACCTTTTTTGCCTCTGCAGCAGTGTGTTGTGACCTAGTTTTATATAAAGATCTTAAGTCTGTCTGCTGGAAGGCTGTTTGCAGAAGTTAGGTGTTATGGAGTTGTCATTCTAAAAAGCTAATGGTGATACATATGGGATCCCAAAGTCAGAATAACACTACTGACTGTTCCTGAAAACTAGTCCAGTTTTCTAGAAATCAGGACAGCAGGCAACAGAAGTCAATGAAAAGAAGAAATAGGGATTATCAGTTGCATATCTGAAAATTGAAACATCTGTCTTCCTTGTGACCCATGTCATCAAATCTTAGAAACTACTTGGGTATTTTATCCATTTCTTTCTTCTCATTTTCCAATGAGCAGATTAAATCATGGCCCCCATAGCAGCTTTAAATCAGTATGGAGCTGACAGTGACATCTGGAATATGAGAAGGAAAAAAAATGGCAGCACTACTGAGACTTCCTCCATACCACCCTCTGTAACTGTTTGCAGTACCAGTAGTGACAAAGAGTAATTTTTGAGCTGCCAAGTCAGTTGCAGCTTTTAAGAGCTAAATATTTAACTACTAATAGCAGTACAAGACTGCAGATTTCTATTCATTAGTGTAAGATGCACAAATGCATAGTGGCCAAAAGCCAGTACAAAGCTCCTTTGCCAGGAGGTTTACAGGTTGAATATTGAAGCTTTTCCAAGCATCATGGGCCAACCCTATTAGTCAGCTAACTGCCGCACAGCCGCTCACTCACTAGCCCCCAGTGGGATGGGGGAAGGAACTGGAAGGACAAAAGTTAGAAAACTTGTGGGTTGAGATAAAGACAGTTTAATAGATAAAGCAAAAGTTGCACATGAAAGCAAAGCTAAACAAGGATTCCACTCTCTGCTTCCCATCAGCAGGCAGGTGTTCAAGCATCTCTGGGAAAGCAAGGCTCCATCATGGTTACTTGGGAAAACAAACATCATAATTACAAATGTACCCCCTTCCTTTTTCTTCCCCAGCTTTTATTACTGAGCACTTTGTCATATGTTACAGGATATCCCTTTCGTAAGCTGGGGTAAGCTGTCTTGGCTGTGTCCCCTCCCAGCTTCTTCTGTACCCCCAGCCTACTCACTGGTGGAGTGGGGTGAGAAGCAGAAAAGGTCTTGACTCTGTGTAAGCACTGTTCAGCCATAACTAAAACATGGTTGATTTACCAACACTCTTTTCATCATAGATCTAAAACATAGCATCATACAGGCTGTTACGAAGAAATTTAACTCTATGCCAGCCAAAAACTGTAGACCAGGAAAAAAGGGACAGGAGCTAGTAGAGCAAGTCTGAGTTCCCTATTCAGAGGAAACATGCTGCAGGAAATTTTGCTCACCAAATACATGATTTGCATGTTGAAAATAGCAGTACAATACCTTCCCAGTATGCAGCTCCAAAATCTGTGCAGGAGACACATGTA